GAAGCAAAATTGTGTTTCATCAAGCATATTATTTCCCTTCCTATCCTTCTAGTCATAAAAACTCAAACCAGAGGATAATTGTAACTTTCATGTATTGTAATTACAGTGTTTGAATGGTAAGATCACCTGCATTCAGAATGCTACAAGGTGAAAATTGTTCTATATGCCACTCAAGCACAATAATTCACTACACATTTCAAAACGGGGTTGTAATTTTATTTGTTTACTTAGTCATTGTTTTTTTGAGACAGGATTCCTGTGTGTAGCCCTAGCTATCCTGCAACTTGCTCTGTAGACCAGGCTAGCCTATAACTCACCTGCCCCTGCCTCCTGAGTGCTGGGATTAAAAGACGTTTGCCACCACACTCTACCTTGATCTGTGTTTAATATCTAAAATTAATAATTGATACCTGGAGACATTATTTAACGGTTCAAAAAAGAAAGTCAATGGGCTCATTCATTCCAGTACATTCTGAGGATATTATCACTGGGCTCTGTGCTTTGCTGGTTAAAAGAAAAGTTCAGAGTGGGCAGAGTTGGGTCTTACCCATAATCCTAGCACTCAAGAGACTGAGGCAGGAAGTATTACCAAGGATTAAAAGCCAACCTGGGTGGCAGAGTGAAACTTTTGTTTCAAAAAAAACCAAAATAATTGGGAGTGCCTGCTGTCAGGTCTGACCAACTGAGGTTAGTTTCCCCAGAACCCATGTTGTGGAAGAAGACAGTTGACTCCCATAAGTTGTCCTCTGACCTCCGTAAGTATTCTGTGGCACATGCACACATATATACAAGTACATAATCAATCAAACACACACACACACACACACACACACACACACACACACACACACACATACGGCTTAGATATTGCCCTCATGGTATATACACATTTTAGCACTGTTTCTCAACTGTTAATGTAACTATTGTAAGAACTAAATACAAGTTGTAATCCTAGCACTTGGAAGGCAAAGGCCAGAGGCTGGTGGCTTGACATGCCATGCCTACTCTTAGTTTGGTGCTGTGTGTTTGTGTACAATATTTGGAACATCTGGAAGAGGTGGGGCAGTAGCAGGAAAAGCAGGGAGGAGGAAAATCTTAAGGGAGGAAGATATCTGACATAGTTCAGGGCAGGCTTGGCTGGTACAAACCCACAAACCATTTGGGTGTCTTGATGGGTTTGAGAGGGCCCATGATCCTGATGATGATGCAGCTATCCTTACTATCCTTATAGGCTGGTGGTCCTACTCTCTGATGCTCTGCTTTCTGGAATACAAGGCTAGACAATGTCTCTAAACTGTCACTGTACCCACTGCCTTTCTTCTCTCATAAGGCAGGACTTAATGGAAATGCACCAATACTCAATAGCTGGTAGGAATGTTGAATGAAGCTGGGTCTAGTCTGCTTTCCAATGGCCTTGGCTCTTATCCTGCAGGGTCACCCAGCCTTGGTGAGACCTAAGGGGCCGGGATGCTCTAATCCAAATGGTTTTGATTCCATAGAATACAGATTTTAGTTTTTGAGACAGGATCTCAAATAGCTCAGCTTGCTCTTGAGTACACTGTATACATTGTATACATTATATACCTGAGTATGACCTTAAACTTCAGATCTCTCTGCATCTAGTCCCAAAAGCTGGGAACACAGGTATGAGCCACCATGCTGGGCTCTTCTGTTTTTATTTTGTTTTGTTTCTGCCTTTTGTTTTTCTGACACAGTTTCTCTGGATAGCCTTGTCTGTCCTGGAACTCACTCTGTAGACCAGGTTGGCCTCAAACTCAGGAGATCTGTCTGCCTCTGCCTCCAGAGTACTAGGATTAAAAGATTACCACTACCACCATGCTGGTTTTTATGCAGTGTTGTGCATTGAATCACAAATGTTGGGTAAGCCATATTCCCACCCCCAAATCAAGTTTTTAGTCCTAAAAAAGATTTAATAAAGATTTTTTAAAATTATCTTTATGATGAACATGATGACATATACCACCCAGACACACTTTTTTAGAAAGAGTCTTGTTATAAAGCCCTGGCTGGTCTAGAACTATGTAGCCCAGCCTGGCCTTGAACCTGCAGTCATTTTCCATACATTCCTGGGTATTAGGGTTATAGGCATGAAGTAATATCCCAGATTATTCTTTCAGTTTGCTGTTAAATCCAAAGGATAATTATTACTTTTTTTTTTTTTTTTTGGTTTGGTTTTTCGAGACAGGGTCTCTCTGTGTAGTCCTGGCTGTCCTGGAACTCACTCTGTAGACCAGGCTAGCCTCGAACTCTGGAACTCAGAAATCTGCCTGCCTCTGCCTCCCAAGTACTGGGATTAAAGGCATGCACCACCACTGCCTGGCTCCAAAGGATAATTATAACTTTCATGTACTGTAATTTTTTTCAGTGTTTGAATGGTAAGATCACCTGCATTCAGAATGCTACAAGGTGAAAATTGTTCTATATGCCCTCAAGCACAATAATTCACTACACATTTCAAAACTGAGTCATAATTTTATTTACTTATTATTCTTCTTAAATGCATTTGTCTTCTGGGATATAACACTTGGGTAACTTTAGACTGTCGTTTGTTTTTGTTTGCTTGTGTGTGTGTGTGTGTGTGTGTGTGAGAGAGAGAGAGAGAGAGACAGAGAGAGAGAGAGAGAGAGAGAGAGAGAGAGAGAGATGTTTGTGTATGCCCCTGCCCCAAACTGTAAAAAGTAAAACAACAAAACAAAGTAGTATTTAATGGAACAACCTCAGACTCTGTGAGAGGGGAGTTTTTGGAGTTGTTTTATCAGGTTAGTGTAGAGGAGAGAACAAAATTCTTATGTTTGTAGGCAATCATAATATCTAAGACAGATAAAACAAATTCCTGAATATAAGACTTCAAAGCTAAGTGTGTAGCTTATGTCTTTTCTTTCAGCACTCAGGAGGCAGAAGCAGGTGGATCTCTGTGAGTTCAAGGCCGGTTTGGTCTACAGAGTCAGCTCCAGCACAGCCAGGGTTATAGAGAGACCTTGTCTCAAAACTAAAATAATAAAGGAAAAGAAAGACAATAACTAGGAGGGACATTAAAGGGTACAGCTAGTGGTCATCAGGAAGCTATGGGGTGGGGGAGGTGTCTCAATGGTAGACAGTTGCCTACCTTGGGTTCCAAGGTATAAGGGAAGACTGGGGATTATAGTTTGTACACACATGTATCTGTGGACATGTGTGGACCCTAAAGGTCAACTTGGCTTGCAGGAATTGGTTCTCTCCTCTCACCAGGTGGGCCTGAATGACTGAACTCAAACTGTCAAGCTTGGTAGCAGGACCTGTATCTGATGAACCAACCATCTTGCTGCCTCAACACTATTGGGTTTGGGAAATTTGAAGGAAAAGAGATGCTGCCAGTTGGTTGTTTTCATACCAATACTTACAGATACCTAAATATCATAAGACAAAAACAAACCAACAACAAAACATTCGTTTTTGTCTTTGTGGACTGAGAGTTAAATCTAGGGCCTCAACCAGGCTAGGCAAGCACTTTACTACTGAGTTATGGCCTCAGCCCTTCATTTTTTTTTTTTTCCAACAGTGTTTCAGTATGTAGCTTTCTTGCTGGCCTGAAATTCACTCTATAGAACAGGCTGGCCTTGAACTCAGAGTTGTGTCTCCTTCTACCCCATGCCTGCTGGGATCAAAGGCATGCACCAGCCCCAATCCCAGTTAAAACTCAGCTAATTTTTAAAGTGCCTATGTGTTCATTAAGTGTTAAGTGGAGGAAATAAAAAGAAAAAATTCTCAGCTGACCTGGTGGATATATGCTTTTAGTCCCAGTGCTTGAGAGGCAGAGGCAGATGGAGTGCTGAGTTTTAGGCCATCCTGGTCTACAGAGCTAGTTCTAGGGTAGCCAGGGCTATGCAGAGAAACCACGTCTTGAAAAACCAAAACCCAAAAAAAAAAAAAAAGAAAAACCAAAACCAACAAACACTCATGTTCCTCCCCCATGATTGTAAATTGTTACTGTACTCACACATGGAGTCACATCTACCTCGTTTACCCCTATGCTGGAGATTAAAGGGAGCCTTCTGCATGTCACACAAGCAATAACCTCAAAGGCTGTGTCCTCAGCTCTCTTACCTCTTTTCCCTCTTGGACAAAGACCCCATTCACTTAAGCCTAAAGGCAAATTTTATAGTATTACAACAAACTTGTGTTGTTATTGACTATTTTTACTTTCTTTCCTTTTTCTTAAATCTTTATTTTTATTTATTCATTTTTTTTGGGGCGGGGGACAGGGTTTCTCTGTGTAGCCTTTGCTGTCCTGGAACTTACTATGCAGCCCAGGCTGGTTTTGAACTTAGACTCCTACTTTCTGCTTCCAAAGTGCTGGTATTAAAGTAGTGTGCTAACACTACTGGGCCTTTTTTTTTTTTTTTTTTGACCTTTCATGTATCCCAAGCTGGTTTCGAACTCAATGTAGTTGATAATGTAAAGAAACTTGCAGTCCTGATTTTTGTGCCTCCTCCTCCCAAATTATGGGCTCACGTGTTTGCCAATCTGCTAGCCTCTGATAGGGTTTCTATAAAAATAAAAGTTGTGATTAAACTCCGTGAAATTTACTCTAACTTCGTTGGCGTGGGACGAAGAGACGGCAGGAGTTAAATTTATAACTTTGAAGCAGTGAGCATGTTTTTCTGGACAAGAATAGCCAAGAAAAGCGGACTACTCATAAGAGGAAAGAATATAGCCTTTCAGTGCTATCAAGAGCTGATAGGGCCTTGGTTATTTGATTTCACGAGAAAGTTGTAGGGCATGCCCATTCAAATTTCTTCCAACAAATCACAAAAGCTTATGGACAATTCCTTACCCGTTCATAGGTCAAATGGAAACCCCAGCCCTCCCTACCTCCCGCCTCTCACTAGGGAGCCAATGGGGAAAACATAGGTGTCATCATCAAGTACTGTACTTGCTATTGGCTGTTCGAGCTGTCAATCTACGGAAGGCGGGCCAGGCCGAACTGTCCTATTTAAGAAGAGGACAAAGGCGGCGCGCAGCTTGTGTCGTCCGCCATTTTGTGTAAAGCAAGGTGGCAACCACGTTCCCTGAGCGACTTCTCCGCTTCTGCCTCGACCGCCCCTTGACTACAGATATGTCTCGGGATCGGTTCCGGAGCCGCGGTGGTGGCGGTGGAGGCTTTCATCGGCGTGGAGGAGGCGGTGGCCGGGGCGGCCTCCATGACTTCCGCTCTCCGCCGCCTGGCATGGGCCTCAACCAGAACCGCGGCCCCATGGGCCCGGGCCCTGGCGGCCCGAAGCCACCGCTCCCGCCTCCACCTCCGCACCAGCAGCAGCAGCAACCTCCGCCGCAGCAGCCGCCGCCGCAGCAGCCCCCTCCGCACCAGCAGCCGCCGCCACACCAGCCGCCCCATCAACAGCCCCCGCCTCCGCCGCAGGAATCCAAGCCCGTCGTCCCCCAAGGCCCCGGCTCTGCGCCCGGAGTGAGCAGTGCGCCTCCACCGGCCGTCTCCGCTCCGCCCGCCAATCCTCCGACCACCGGCGCCCCGCCAGGCCCGGGTCCTACCCCGACTCCGCCGCCCGCCGTCCCCTCCACTGCCCCCGGACCGCCTGCCCCTTCCACGCCGAGCAGCGGAGTCTCAACAACCCCTCCACAGACCGGTGGCCCTCCGCCACCGCCCGCTGGTAGCGCCGGTCCGGGGCCTAAGCAAGGTCCAGGCCCTGGCGGTCCCAAAGGCGGCAAGATGCCCGGTGGGCCTAAGCCTGGAGGTGGTCCGGGAATGGGCGCTCCTGGTGGCCACCCGAAGCCACCACACCGAGGTGGTGGGGAGCCCCGTGGGGGCCGGCAGCACCACGCGCCTTACCACCAGCAGCACCATCAGGGGCCCCCTCCCGGCGGACCGGGACCTCGCACAGAAGAAAAGATATCCGACTCGGAGGTGAGTAGGTTCTCAAGCAAGCTGTCCGTTTCCCTAAGATGGCGGCTCTTGCCTACCCTCGGCGTTTTTCCCCCCCGCCCGCGGCCTCGTAGGCCTCCATTTTGTCCCTTGCCGGAAGCGCTCCTGCGCATGCTTGCGAAGGCGGGGCGGACGCGCGGCGGTCTGTGTGGTCTGCTAGGGATTGGCTTCCAGCGGGAGGGCGCCCTGTACTTCGTGGCAGTGGGCAGCTAGAAGCTAGCGGTCCCTTGGGACCCAACTAGTGCACATCGGAGGCCTCTGTGCTGTTGGAGAAAACAGGGGGACCTGGTGCTGTCTTCCTATTTATTTTCCATTTAGATCTATTTGTTGACGTCAGAATATTGTATTGCTTAGCGTTTGCTGATACAGGCGGGTGTGTTTCACAGCATTTTGTATACTCTGTTTCTTATTGACTAGAGTTAGTGTTCCTATTGGATCCCCAAGAATGGTACCTGGTAGTCTTCATGGAAAAATGCATGATGGCCTATTTTGGGATGACTAGGTTTTTTTTCCTGCTTTGACTAGTGTGCGAATTCCGTCCGATTTCTTCATTAGGGATTTAAAGCCAACTTGTCTCTATTGCGGAGGCCTGGAGAAAAAACATATACACAGCGCTGTCGGTTGTTTGTGGGGAACCTACCTGCTGATATTACAGAGGATGAATTCAAAAGACTGTTTGCTAAATACGGAGAACCCGGAGAAGTTTTTATCAACAAAGGCAAAGGGTTCGGGTTCATTAAACTTGTGAGTGTAATTTTTTTTTTTTAATTGTAAAAGTTTTGAAGGCATGGTTTTAAATGGGAAGAATTAACAGGCCGTTAAGTTTTTCACCATCGATAGACATCAGCATAGTGTGCGTTGGTGCAGAGCCTCAAAGACAGACCTAGCCCTCGTGGTGTTGGGAGGAATGCGTGAAGACAGTTCTTTGAGCGGTGGAAATGGGGTGGGTTGTGACAAATTGAACCCCAGCCAGTTTTGGAGTTTAAAATATTTCTGATACTTACAGGAATCTAGAGCCTTGGCTGAAATCGCCAAAGCTGAACTCGATGATACTCCTATGAGAGGTAGACAGCTTCGTGTTCGGTTTGCCACACACGCTGCAGCCCTGTCTGTTCGGAATCTCTCTCCTTATGTGTCCAATGAACTTTTGGAAGAGGCCTTTAGCCAGTTTGGTCCAATTGAAAGGGCCGTTGTAATTGTGGATGATCGTGGAAGATCTACAGGGAAAGGCATTGTTGAATTTGCTTCCAAGCCAGCTGCAAGAAAAGCATTTGAAAGATGCAGTGAAGGTGTTTTCTTACTTACAACGTAAGCTGTCTTTAGTTTATGCTAGTTTTTATATGTACATATATATATGTATAATTTTGAGGTGTAGTTGAAATAAAATTGGAAGTTAAGATGAGGAATCATTTCTGTTACTAGGACTCCTCGCCCTGTCATTGTGGAACCACTTGAACAGTTAGATGATGAAGATGGTCTCCCTGAAAAATTGGCCCAGAAGAATCCAATGTATCAAAAGTAAGACTTAAGCTTTTTGGTGCTCTAAAAGAGAAGCTAGTGATTTCTAATTTTGCTTAGAACTTTAGAAACTTTAGTCTGATAATTTCTGGTTGGTCTAGATTTTCTGTTATGTACACCAGGCTGACCAAAACGCTGAAGATCTCCTGACTTCTGCCCCACAAGTGCCAAGATCATAGGTGTGAGCCATCAAGCCACAGTTTATGACTACATTAACTATGCTTACTATACATCTCTGCTTCGGATGTAGTTTTTATTTTTTCCTTTTTGAGAACAAGGTTCCTCTGTAATCCACTGGCTGTCCAGGAACTTGCTTTTGTAAGTCCCAAACTGGCCTTTTGTAAGTTCCCACCTTTCTCTGCCTCCCAGAGTGCTGGAAATAAAAGCATGTGCCACCATGTCTCTTGGGTAAAGTACGTTCACATGTGATCCAGATGCACGCTAAAGTTCAATGAGATCTACTTGTTATTAGTGGGAACAATAAGCCTGAATAAGGAATTTGGCTATGGGAAAAGGGGGAGATAGTATTTCTTGCTTTTTCTGTTCTATCATTTTCTTTGTTTATTTATCCCTACCCCACCCCCAACACGGGTTTTTTGCCTAATCCTGGCTAACCTAGAATTATAATTATAGACCAGGTGGCCTCACATCTGCCTGTCTCTGCCTCCTTGGTGCTGGGACTAAAGCCGTATGCCAGCACTGCCACCCCAGTTTTTCCTCTCACTTTATAGGTTTATACACATGGTCTCTGTAGACCAGACTGGCCTAGAAATACATTACCATGCCTTCTTGGCTTTTTGCTTTACTTTATAGCATAACTCACTACTTCTAGAGTTAATACAATTTAGGTAAATAAGTCATGGCTACTTGAACATTTGCCTAGGAGGCAGGTTCCAGTAAGACAATAAGACCTTATCTCACAAATGGGTGGGGGATTATAAAGAAGATATTAGACTTAAGCTAGGGATTCAGGGGAATGAAATGTGAAGAAAAGTTGACAAACCCTTCTTTAAGCAATGCCAGTTTTTTGGTTTTTTCGAGACAGACCAGTTTAGTTTTTAATGAGTGTGTATGGTTTGCCTGGATGCATGTGCCTGATTCCCACTGTGGCAAAGATGGTGTCAATTCTTCCACTCTTAACTTAGTTGCTTTGTGGGCCTGGGACATAAGTCCTGGTCCTTTAGAAGAACATATGTGCTCTTTACTGCTGAGCCATCTATCTCTCCAGCCCCTTTCATTGTATAGTTACTGACTACCCTTATGCATGGTGTTTAATTTAACACAATTAGGTAGGATTGCAAGTTGGGCGTTAAAAACAGCATGATAGAGTAGGGAAAGGACTACCCTCTGGTTTCTGTGTCCATTCTTGGTGCTGGAGATCAAATCCAGGGCATTGTACATTACTGTGTTACATGTTCTACAAATGCCTTCCAGTGGGCAATAGGAATATATGGGTACTGAAGGGTTTTGGTTGGTTGGTTTGGTTTTTTTTTTTGTTTTTGAGTGAGGGTTTCTTTTGTGTAGTGATACCTGTTCTGCATACCTTAATGCTGTGATTAAAGCCATAAATAACCATGCCAGGTTTAAGGTTTCTGGTTTTCTTTTTGTTTTTTTTGAGACAGGGTTTCTCTGTGTAGCCCTGGCTGTCCTGGAACTCTACTCTGTAGACCAGGCTGGCCTCAAACTCAGAAATCCACTTGCCTCTGCCTCCCAAGTGCTGGGATTAAAGGCATGCGCCGCCACTGCCCAGCTAGGTTTCTGGTTTTCTTAGGAAGTCCAATGATAACTGCATTCTCAAAATTGCTTCTGTATAAATTATGTATTGTCAGGGAGAGAGAAACACCACCTCGTTTTGCTCAGCATGGCACATTTGAGTATGAATATTCTCAACGATGGAAGTCCTTGGATGAAATGGAAAAACAGCAAAGGGAACAAGTTGAAAAAAACATGAAGGATGCAAAAGACAAATTGGAAAGTGAAATGGAAGATGCTTACCATGAACACCAAGCAAATCTTTTGCGTCAAGGTGAAAAAGTCTCAGAATTTTATTGGTAAAGATCAGTTGGCATTTTAAAGTGGTCAAAGCCTCATTAACACAAATCTAAAATAATTTCCAATATTTAGATCTGATGAGACGCCAGGAAGAATTAAGGCGCATGGAGGAACTTCATAGTCAAGAAATGCAGAAACGTAAAGAAATGCAGTTGAGGTATAGTGCTGAATTCAGCCTTTACTTCTCATTTATTCTGACATATAGACAAGAAGTACTAAGTGCAAGTTTGTATTAGAAAAGCTTATTACCTTTGCCAGATTGCTGCTATGTCTAGAATTAAAAATCTAGACTTTATTTTATGAACGTTAAGAGTTTAACCTGTACTTTCTATTCAAAGACAAACTTGTAGCTCTTTTTCAAGTAGTCTGTTTTGTGAAGCAGGTGTTGCTGCGTGGCACTAGCTGGCCCCTCCGATTGGGGACCGTTTCCCGCTGACTCTTAAGTGTTGTGTTTGAAGGCAAGGGCCACCACACTTGGCTTCTTAAGTTTTAGGTATGGATAACACTTTGGTTTATAAAATATTTGTAGGCAAGAGGAGGAACGACGTAGAAGAGAGGAAGAGATGATGATTCGCCAACGTGAGATGGAAGAACAAATGAGACGCCAACGAGAAGAAAGTTACAGCAGGATGGGCTACATGGATCCAGTAAGTTTTCTGTTGTTGCTGGGCAGTGGTGGCACACGCCTTTAATCCCAGCACTTGGGAGGCAGAGGCATGCGGATTTCTGAGTTCGAGGCCAGCCTGGTCTACAGAGTGAGTTCCAGGACAGCCAGGGCTACACAGAGAAACCCTGTCTCAAAAAGCCAAAAAAAAATTTTCTGTTGTAGTAGATTAGCTTAACATTTATTCGTTCTAAGTGTATACTCTACCAGTGTAGCTATCTGTTTTGTTTTGCGTGTACAAACTGAGAACCAATTCTTACTGGATCAAATACCATGTAGCTTGTTTGTTTTGATAGTCTAACCAGTGTTCAGGATACTACATGCCACAATGAAGTAGAAAAACATGCATTTTGAGCTTTGAATTATTTTGTGGTTTTTGAGGCAAAGTCTTTCTTTAGACTTGGCTGGCCTGGAATTCTCTATGTACACTAGATTGGAGTTAAAGAGATTAGCCCTACCTCTGCTTCTAAAACGTTGGGATTAGAAGTGTATCCCACTGGATAAATTTTTTTTGTGTTCAAATTTTTTTCTACTTGAGTACATGGTGTAGGTGTCATATGTAACTAAGTTTATTTTTGTGTTTTTCCCTCCCCAGAGAGAGAGAGACATGAGAATGGGTGGTGGTGGAACAATGAACATGGGAGGTAAGTGAGAGACGTTAGTTACAGATAGGATAGCACTGCACTGCACAGCGGCAGCATTCTGTTGGGGTAACCACTGGTTTTTGTTTCCTAGATCCCTATGGTTCAGGAGGCCAGAAATTTCCACCACTAGGTGGTGGTGGTGGCATAGGTTATGAAGCTAATCCTGGAGTTCCACCAGCAACCATGAGTGGTTCCATGATGGGAAGCGACATGGTAATGTATCCTGTGGGACATAGTACAAAGGAGATTCTTAATTTCACAACTTGAGTATTTTATTTTCCTCTCTCTTTCTCTCTTTTTTAAAGTAGCTGACTGGACTTTTAGTTTCCCCGTTGTGTAAATATATAATACTGAGGACTACTTTGGCAATGTAGAACTGTGTGTGGTAACCTAAACAGATACGGTTGCCACCAAGGAGTCAATGCTGTTATAGTATGTGGAGTTATCTTTGACAATAAGTACGTAGGTATTTTCCATTTTATTGTCTCTGCACTTTTGAACCTTCAGTGCATGGCAAATCCAAATTTTAGATGTTAGATAATTGTATATGGTTTTCTTGCATCCAAGTGAGGAATGGCACAGTGCCATTCTGTGGTGTTTTCCATAAGTAGGAGTCAGACTTGAGGCTTGTAGTCTTAAGCATGTTAGTGTGACAGGTAGGCCTTTGACCTTATTTGTGGTTTCTGTTTCTAGCCCATGAAAAGGGGAACTGTCTAGTGTTTTGACTCGTCGTTTCCCACCTGTTGGGTCTCTTTGTAGGTACATCCAAAAAAAAAAAAAAAAAAAAAACCCTGATGTTTCAACTTTGCTACAGGGTAGCAACAGTCAACAATTTTAAGCATACTGATGGTGTGCATTTGTTCTGAACCCCTTGATGCAATCATGCTTTATCTATATGGAGATAGCCTGTCAGGTGCTTTAATATAGTCAAATGACTTTTGGTCTGAGTGGCTGCTGTAGGGGTAGGGCTTTACAGATCCTTAAGAACTGCGTTTTGGTGGGAAAAAAATCTGTAGCTAAATTGAATCTAAATAATTCACCCATAGGCTTTTGGCTCAGAAGAGCTGCATTTGTAGCTCATAGGATTTATTTTATAAATAGGAATTTAAGGTTTTAGTGTGAGACTTCATTTAAAACCTGCTTACTGCTTCATGAGAATTAAAGTTAGCTGGATATACTGATAGGTTTCTTCAAATTGAACTTAACATTTTGGTCTTAAAAGTACTTTCTAGAAGGCACAAGGTGTATATATTAAATTAGGTAACTAGTTTGACATGTGTTTAGGTTCTATGTTTAGACATAGGTTTATACATTTAACAGTTTCTAGGTCCTTAGATTTTGTAGTATAACTGAAGCCTCATTCTTTGTAGTTTTTTTGGTAGAAGCTTTACAGACATTCAAAAAAAAAAAAAAACAATTGAAAGTCTGTTCATGTAGATTTGTAGGGTTTTGTTTTTCAAAAGTTGAAATTGTAGGAGCAGTTAAAGCCTGATGCAATCTTTATTTTTATTTTGATTAGTAACCAATAACTGGGCTATTTTGAGTAGAATTTTAATTGGAATGCATGTAGGGTTCTGCTGTTAGGATATGTGGGTTTTATTTTACTTTGTGTTTTAAAGTCAAAGTACATAAAAGTAGATGGATAATGAAGTCATTCACTGCTTTATTGCAGTCACCCTCGCTTGGTGATAGGCTGTTTTGGGAGATAACCTAAAACATGGAATCAAAACAAAGTGACAGTGCACTTTCCAAAACTAAGCTGGACTTTGAAGTAGGCGGGCTGTATATTGTGTTTGTAACAATGCAGAAACATACTGTGCATGTAAGTGTCTCTGGTTAGTAGTGATGGCTCTGAAGTGTGGTACGCCTGTGAGACTGTGGCAAAATGAGTTTTTGATGAAGTTACTGTGCCGGTTGAGTAAAAAACGACTATTTTTTTGTGCTTTTTTTTTCTTTCTTTCTTTTTTTTTTTGTAGTATGGTAGCATTTTATTAACTTCATTCCAACCTTTTAAGATTTCTGCAACTTTGCAGATATGTCTTAAGATCTTGAAAAGCACAAGGTTTCTTATGCAGCACATGCCGCTACCTGGTGAGTAGGCCTTTGTCCTTCATTGAGCAAGTTGGTTTTGTCTGACTGGACTTTGTAGGCTTGGAGATGACTTTGTGTTCATACCTGGACAAGCGTGTCAGTGGATTAATCTGATGTGAATTTTGTAGAACTCATTTTGGAATGGGTTTTCACATCTGCACTAATTTTTGAATTTTTTAGCACTACAGGGAAGATCTATTCTTTGAAACAGGTGTATGAGAATGGCTCAAGTGGGAACATACCACAAGGCATGTATTACCGTAAACTAATTTTCAAATTACCCTTTTTTCCTTTCTATGTTCCCGGTACCTGTGGATCGACTCATTGGTGATTGTATCGACGAACGTTGACTACGGAACCTTCTAAAATATTTACTTAACACACATGGACATCAACTACATTTAATGAACTGTTAATTACTGTTCCAATAGCGTACTGAGCGCTTTGGGCAGGGAGGTGCGGGTCCTGTGGGTGGACAGGGTCCTAGAGGAATGGGGCCTGGAACTCCAGCAGGATATGGTAGAGGGAGAGAAGAGTATGAAGGGCCAAATAAAAAACCCCGATTTTAGATATTTAGGCTTTCATTCCAGTTTGGTTTTGTCTTTTCTTGTTTAGATACCACTTTAATTCTTGGCATTTTAGTAAGAAAGCTACCTTTTTATGGATGTTAGCAGTTTATTGACCTGATATTTGTAAATGGCCTGTTTGGGCAGGTAAAATTATGTAACGCAGTGTTTGAAACAGGAGAAAAATTTTTTTCATTTACTTTTTTTTTTTTAACTGTATAATGTTTCTCAAGTTAATGGCAGTGTACCTTGTGCCACTGAATTTCCAAAGTGTACCATTTTTTTTTTACTGTGCTTCAAATAAATAGAAAAAATAGTTACAATACTGATCTTCAACTCTGCTATTCATGCTTCTATGCACATTAGGCTAGGTATTTCACTTGGAAAGCATGAGTGTATGTAGGCCTTGGAGTGGCATATGCCATTTCTGGGAAATGTAACTGGAGGCTAAGTATTGCTTTCTACAAATGGTGCCCCCCCCTTGTTTAAAAAGCAATGCATATTGAAGTAATTCGGATTTGTTTGGCATTACAGAAAGCAGGCTGGTGCTCAGCATCTTTAAATGGTCATGTTAGAAAAGTTGAACTATAAGTTTTAATTCAGGAACATGTATTAAGATTATGGAATGGGTGAAAACTACTGGTAGTGAGAGAAAGGGGGTTTGGTGAAACGGATCCCTATGATTCTTTCCTTGAAAGCTTTTGAAAATGGAAAGATCATCATCTTGTTGCGTTTCCCCTATTGTTTTGTTTAAAAAAAAAAAATCCCAAGCCCTACAAATGGCTTGTACTGAACTTTTGCATTTGAATTAAAGATTGTTAAACATGGAGCCTTTTCATGTATTACTTCAAGTGATTTAAAAGCTGGATTTAGTCGGGAATTTTAACTTGAAGAATTAAGGGTTAGTTAACTATAATATAAGGTTTAGCCTTATGTACTCTTTAACAAATACCTCCCTGTATTCTATTGAGCAAATTCTGTAGTCTGAAAATATTGGTTCTCTTGGAGAACTAGTGGTGACTGTTACCAAGTAGGACTGCCAATAATCTTCTCACTATGGAGTTGAACTGTTTTTCATATCAGTCTTATAGTATAGCATTAAACCTGGAGAGAGTTACTCAGGCTACATGGTAAAAATACTTTTTCCTCCCACCATAAGCTTGGGGATGTTTTGATGATGTCAGTTGATTGTCACCTTCATTGAACTTCCTTTCATTAGAGCAAGAGACTTTCTGACTTGATAATAATAAAGTAGATTGTTTACTGTTGGGAGCTTGATTTCTTCCCAGTGTAAATATGTTGAGGAAAACTTAACAGTTCAGAAAGGAATTGAGAAGCTTGGCTCTGATCTTAGTTACATTTCCATTCCAGTCTATACATTATAGAACTTTCACTATGGAATGTCTTCATCCTTTTCACCTCTATCCTTGGTGCTAATTGGCAAAAGAAATTCTAAATCACTTGCTGAGGTTGAGTATTGTGCTTGAGTACAAAAGGAGACCTATTGTGGAAACAATTGAGTACTTCATGCATAGGAAAGTTGTAATTTTTGAAAGTAAAACACTACTGGATTATAAAAAGCATGTCATCAAATGGTTGTATGACTGACAGGTTTATAGTGTATTAAGGGGAAAATCCTTAGTACATTTACTTTGAATCACCAGTACACTTGGAAATAGGTAGTTCTAGTATAATTATAGCAATCAAAGTTATTTTTGGCCCAACTGAAGTTAATAATTGGTGATAATGAAGGTTTTCTGTATGGAAACAAAGGTCTGGATTTGAAGGAGCTCTTTGGTTGAATTGTAATAGTAGGGACTATAATAATGAGAAAATTGAGGGGTGTTCGTGGGACACCCATGGAGGGTGAATTGGAATGTATATGGGTGGGGGCTGGAGGGGAAGTGGGAAAATCTGCCTGTAAAATTAATGTTTCAGTTTATTTTTCAGATTACATGGCTTTCTTTATAAGGGATGCTGGCACAGACCCCTAAAATAAGCTTTGGTAGTAGTATACCCTTGAAGAGTGGTGAAAGGATACTTAAAGGATAATTTCCTCAGATTGTGGCTTTTGATAGCCTTTATTGTGGGCTCTAGAGCTGCTAAACAGTGTTTAGCAGATAAAGGTTGCATAGTGTCAACCAACATGACTGTGAAACTGTACCAAGGGTTGTAAGCTACTGAGACTTTCAATAAGTCTTAAGATGTGATGGTTTTAGCCTGCTAGTGATTTTAAATCCTCTTGAGCAGTTTGAACCAAAAGCTAATAGGGAAACTTAAGGTGGGAGGGGAGGATGTCAGGATGTAGTTTAGACATTTCCCCTTTGAAGAAACCACTTGCCCTCATTTCCTCCTTCACTTTATCAAAATTTTGTTTACAGAGGACACTTAGAACATTTCTCCTTTTAAAGTTAGATTCTATAAGACAGTAGTATAATAGGCATGCTATGAGCTGAACCCATTGAAATCTTTATGTGGTGAGACTTACCTTAAAAACCCACCACTCTATATGTGTGCTGTACCACTAATATAAACATAATTTGGGAAATTGTAATGTTACACCTGTGCAATTCTTACAAGTGGCATATCATGGCAGATAAAAATTTAGGTACTTGGCTTGGACAAGCCACAAAGTTGTGGCGGAATGTTTTGTGGTGTTCTTGGACTGCAATTGTGCACTATTAAAGTAGTGGACTGCTACATAACTGCATTTAGCCAGCATTTCTGCAGTGCGTAACTGTGAGGAACGTAGTACCGCAAATGGCAATGGACATTAGGACCCGGATGTAGTATTCCTGCTTGCTCCAAGATTCTCATTGCCGACTGCATACAGGTAGGTAACAAGCAATATAATATAACTTGGTGACTTGCTATGTGCTTTTATTCAGTGGGCATTCTGACATCACACTTCTGACAGTGAAATTACAGTGCAGCACCTAATACTTGTATGACAAGCTAGGTTAGTTCAAAATCTGGGTCTGGGGTTAGATCTGTAATTTGTTAGGAAGAATTCAGTGTTGTAGTTCTCAAAAGTGCAAACTTGGATCCTTGTGTCTTGACTCAGTTTTGTGGTTTTCTTTAGTTACATTGTAACTGAAGATAAGACTGAACACAGCTTGTTGGTGGGTGAGGGAACCAAATCATACTTGACCTGGGGTGCTCAGAGCACTTTGGTGAAGACTTGTAGTATGTGATAATTACTCTCCTCAGTAGAAAACTTGACCTCTCGTTTGGTCAGCAATGTCTAATATCATTATTCAATCTTGATAGTACTGCAAGTTGAGTGAATTAAGACTAAATGACAAGGGGTGGTGGGTTTTTTCTGGGTTTTGTTTCTTTTTGTAATGTGATCAAAAATTTCTAGGTTTGGGCTTCATGGGAAGACCTTTGTTACTAACTTGGGCTTAGATGGGAATCTTTCGAATAGTTCAAGTTATGTGGCTTGTCTGAATATGTTTATTTATACTCCAAACTTGGGGGAAACTAGTGAAACAGTGACTTAGATTTGAAAACATGTTGGGAATCATTCCCCACCATAAGACTTCGTCGTAATCTGTAGAGTTGAGTGCATTTGTTCAGAGTAGCTCTTTGAAGTTCCCTAGCTTTAAGGGATGTGATTGATTATAGTCCAAAATGTTTCATAATCACAGGAATACATAAGTCTTCAAAGCACCTTCCTTGTTGCTTAGGACTTGAACTTTCTATCAACTGTTGTTCCAGACCTCAATTCAGTTTTACTTTGGTGTTTAACTAGCATGCATGAGAAAAACAGCCTACCACTTGTAATGCTTTCTGCTCTATAACTGGAAAGTTTGGTTCATTTTGCATACGTGCCGCTGAAAGCTTCAGGACTGTGAGAATTTCCTTTCAATGAATCAAGAAAAATGGCTTGCTCTTGGTCAGGCAAGTCAGATGGTGGGGTAGTTACTCCAAGCAAGCAACTTGTGATTACGGATAGATGAAAGCAATGTGGTGATTTAGCTCCTCATACAATACAGATCAAACAGTATGACCTGAGTATCACTAACCTGCCTTGAAACCCTGCTGGGGGCATTGAAGTGTCATAGTCTATTAAATCGGTAGCACGGGATTGTTACCGTGGCTCAGCAAATTTGAATGTTAACAAAAGCTCTCAGACTTAACTTCTGAACAGAAACAAATTGGAGAGTTTATATTTGAACATGGACTTGGGGGTGGGGTGATTTTTTTTTTCCCCCCTTCCTTGGTCTGTTTTAAGATTATTAGGCTTTTGTACATGAAAATGAGAAACTACTGACTTAAGTAGTCTTGCTAGTTAATTTGAATGAAGGTGTAAGTTGTGAATTTTATAGTATATTGGGTTTTTAAAACATTCAAAAAAAAAAGCTGGGAATTAAATGGGTTCCAGTAATACTATATACTAAGGTGCTTGCATTGTATTTCATAAATCTTGTTGCAACCAAATTGTTTTTTTTTTAATGAAAACTAAGTTCAGAAGTGTGATGCCAGAATGTATTATCGTACTGTTAGGCCCTTGGAGCAGATCCCGGTGCTTTCTGAAAGATGAAAGTAATGTAATGGGTACTCATACAAGGCTGCTTGCAGCCAATCAGCAATGCATACTCTCACTCTCTCTGATGAAGAGATGCGTGTGATTAGTTTTGGTCTTTAACCTTAATGGGGGTGCATGTCTCCTGTTGTTAATCATTGTCAGCTGCAGTGACATGATCCACAGTCCTGCATTTACCGCTGCCTGTTGTGTTAATGATCTGGACAGGTTTTAGAGCTCTGGGGTGTTTGTTCTGGGCCTTTTCTTGGTTTTGGCTTTAGCTGATAATGTTAGTGCTGTTTAGCTAGTGTAGTTCTCAATGGCTCCCTACTCGGGAGAGACTCTGGAGGACCTAACTGCTCCTTTTATCATCTGTCATTGCTGCTAGATAATGATTGGCAATTTTCTAGACTGAAATGTGGAAATCTCAACAGTGATTGGTAAACAATCAACCATAGAAGTAATGTTTTTGAACACCAGTGCTGGAGAAAAAAATGAAGATGAAAAGAAAAGGGCCTGGACATAAAATAGGGATAATTGGAGAAAGGGGAAAGAATGCAAAACGATATAGTATCCCTTATGGATGGTCCATGTGCAACAGAGAACTATTTTGTATACCTGTGGCAGTGATAATACGGGGGGAAGAACAACCTGGAACTTGAATTTAAGGACGAGCTTTGTGTTTTCTTGTGCACTGTGCCAGGTACAGAATGAAGGATAATGACTTTTCCCTCAGAACCCCCTTCCCCCCCTTTTTTTCTTGCTGTCCCAATAATGCATAGTTGAGGACTTGGAGGACAAAAATTGAAGCAAATACATAGGATTGCAGGGTAAAGAACTGCAGTGTTGTGTGCTTGCTGTAGGAAAAGGGTCAAAGCACTAAGAATGAAAGTCACTGAATTGACTGGGGAAGCAGGGAACGTGTAAGCTGATAGCTGTTTTAGTCAGGTAAACGTTGTCACATACCTTCACATAAGGGATAGTATATTATGGGTTGCAGTCAAACTTATTGTGCTCAGACTGGTGAAATAGGAATTAGCCTTTTGCATTTTAAAGAAGGTATTAGGCTTTTGCATTTTAAAGAAGATAGTTTTCTTTCTAATTCTGTCATCTACTTATTAGACCCCTTTCATAAAGTTTCTTCCTTTTTTATTTTATTTTTTAATGCTATAACTTATTCCAGTCTTTAATCTCTGGAATTTTGCTCTTTAGAATTTGGAAGTTAACTAGCATTTTTCAAGCCTTTATTGTATACCCTTGTCTTTCATACTAACTTTTTCTTATTATTCTTTAGGTAAGAA